GTGATAATTAAATATATGGTATATGGGCCCCTGTGTCCTTTACTTTAAGTAATCATAGTTCATTAATCAGAGAAGTGTTGTTAATTATATTATAAATGAAAACAAAACTGTTAGTTTCAGTGCTGGATCCAGGAATTTTTATAAGTGGGGTCCACTGACTGCCTAAGACATGTAAGAGGGGGCCCTCTCAGGTCAATCGTCAGTGATTCCATTGTATAATGAACCAAATTTTTCACAGAAAAGGGGGAAACTTCCTTTGCGTGTGTGCAAATTACAATTTTTATACTGTAAATTAAGAAATTGTGGAGTGATTCTATTTATGCAAATAATAGGTCTTGATGAGTACGACTATCTCATTAATATAAGGACTCCCATCTCCTAACTGATTCATATATGACATGTACACAGCTCTTTCTGAAATTTTAATAATTAATCTCGCATTGTGTCTGGCATCATTTAGCAGTGAAAACATAGCAAAATTGCCCTCTAGATGTCCTTTGAATGTTTTGTTGGATTTCTATCTCCTTGATCTATACAGTCTGGGAAGGGGGGGGGGGGGGGGGTCGGATAGGTCCTGATCCCGAGGTCCCGAATTTAAAGAAATTTAAATCCCGAAATTCGAAAAAAGAATTCCCGGATCCAGAAAGTATCAATCCCAAAATCCCAAGCTTAAAAACACCTGGAGTCCCAATAAAGGTCAGATCCCCCCCCTCCAGTATGCTCCTTTTATTCATATCTTTTTCAATTGAATTGCTTTACATTTGTCATTTGACGTGTTTGAGGCCTTACACACATGTAGCTTATGTACAAGCAGGACCTGCTTACCCTTCCGGAGCACCTGAGATAAACAAGTTTTTGGTGGGGTTTGTGTTGCTTAGTCTTTAGTTTTCTATGTTTTGTCATCTGTACTATTATTTGTCTGTTTGTCTTTTTATATTTGGCCATGGTGTTGTGAGTTTGTTTTCGATCTATGAGTTTGACTGTCCCTCTGGTATCTTTCGTCCCTCTTTTATGCTGTATGGGTTTTTCTCAATGTGGCCACACTGTGACCTATAGTTAAATTGAGAACTTCTCTGTGAATTGTTTTTTTTTTACTGAGAATTAGCATGCCACATCTTCTGATTTTATATGTTTATATTATACAAATATCACTTATAACAATTTTATTGTGTTACAAAACTATTTCAATATTTTAAATACAAGTAATACTAAATTCAAAATTCATTTGTAAATTTTGGGCCACTAATTCTTCCAGATGAGTAAAGGTTTGATTTGACTTGTCCATGACGATTACTCTTACTACATATTCTAATGCAATTATTTTGTATCAATGGTTCTGATTGGATGACAGTAAGAGTAAAATTCTCTATCTCCTTGTCTGTAACTAAGGAAGCCGACATTTTGAATTGCGGAATGTATTGACATGTAATTTCTACAATAATAAGCAAAAAACCCACTTGTTGCACCTAGAAATTTTTCTTTTTATCAAATTTTATTACATTCTGAAGCGGTCAAGAAGCCAGGAAACGCCTGGTGTTTACGTTTGACGCCTGAAGCATACCTATGATGTCACCTAGTTTAGGGGCCAAAGAAGATAACATCTTTTCGCAGAATTTTCTTAAATCAAAGTTTTACACTGAAATAATGATTGAAATTGAATTATGTACTTGTTTTGATTAGAATAGAGATAACTGTATTGTATTTGAAGCTTTTCGGACGTCCATCAGTAGTTTTACTGTCGCAAATACCCGTTTACCTGTCTCCGCTACCCGTCGCCAGGTAAACTAAATTTGCGACAGTAAAACTACCGATGGACGTCCGCAAAGCTTCAAATACAATACAGTTATCTCTTAAGTATGGTTTCAGCTCATTGTCGAAGAATGTATATTTACCTATAATTGATTAAATTCATGTCATTTGGATTCTGTTGGATAGTTTTCTCATTGGCAATTATACCACATCTCCTAAATTTTATTTTCAAGTTTTTCATAATAATACAAGCATGACAAGTAAGGGTTGTTCCTGTACAAACATGCATTAGAACTCTGAAATTGTAGTGTCTTAGAGTTTTCATGAAGTGAAAGTTAAAAAGAATTCCAAAATTATAATATGCTGTGGATTCATCACTTTTTCGTGGTTTCTTACGTTTGTAGTTTAGTAAAAGCTTACATACTAGCCTAAGGAGAATTTGTACGTAACTATATTGAACGTTTTTGATTAGGTTCACCAATGAAATCTTCGAAAATTGATTTCCAACAAATATAAAACTGAATGATTTGCAGTAAATCTCTATAGATCTCTCTCGTTGCAACATTTTCAAAGTGCTTTCTGTTAGCCTAGGGGTCATCCATAATAATTGTCAACCATTTTCCAAAGTGTACAAAACGTACACTTGGGAGGAGGGGGTTAAAAAATCAAACATTTTTACCGTACACTTTTTTTTAATTTCTGGAATATTTTCGTTTCCACAGGGTTCAGTTTTTATTACCTCAATGAAGCTATTTATCATCTATGGGTTTGAAAATAATGTGAAATTGTACATTAAAAGTAGCATGTTTCAAATTATATGCAAGCATCACAGATACATGTCATAAAATAAAACAGTTATATGATTCAGTTTATTTTTAATGCAAATTTCTATATTAAACTAAATTATAATTATGATAATAGACAGGATCTTCTTTTTATTAAGAATGATTGATTCTAGTCTTGAAATCTGAAAATGGTTGATGTACACTTTTTTGAGGGAGGGTGGGGGTCTGAAAAAGTATTATGTTTTGTACACTTTGGAAAATGGTTGACAATTAATATGTGGATGACCCCTTAATCTTTACAAATGTATATTCTGAAAAATCACACTAAACTAGCTTATTACTTCTTATGGTGGTTCACTCTGCATTCAGAAGGTCACTTCCATATTGATTGAAGTTACCCTCTTTCCAGGCTTGTGACTGGCAAGATTTTACATATCTTGGCTGCATTCCCCACCCACCACCACATTGCAAATTTCAGTCCAAGAGGAACCTTTTTTATACTGTTCACTTTAATAAAATTGCTGTGTAAAAATTAGTTTGATTTCTATTTATGTATTAATTGTAATTTATATACCAAAATGATTACATAACTTTCCCATGTTTGCTGCCCACCTTTATTTTTTAGTCTGAAGAAACTATAGTGATTTCAATTACTTTTTATTTTTACGGTTTTAACAAATTAAATGCTTGCCATTATTTGAAGAAATATTGTCACATGCAGACATAATTGATATTTTTTAAACATTAACCTGTTTAAATTAAAAAAGAATATGACTTATTCGCATATTTATCATTTACTCTATTTATAAATAACTTTTGTTCGAATGAGAGAAAAAAATCAGATTCATTTAATATCAGAATTTCCTGAAGGTGCTTGACTTGGACTGATGAAATAATGCAATACAAAATATGGCATGAAATGAAGCATGGAGAATTTTACACAGCAAGTAAACCCTTAAATGCCATTTACATCTTCTCTGAAACCACTGTTTTTAATACTTCTTCTTTGAAACCACTTTTTTTATTACACCTTCTTTGAAACAAAAAAATAAATTAATTTGCAATTTGAAAAAAAATTGGTATATTTTTGTAATATTGCCAGTCATTATGATTTTATTGTTGGCCCTTTTTTCAATTTCTGGTACTTTATTATTAAGTTAAATTATTTTATTATTTTTTCAGTCTTTATTTATATAAGAATATTTTAAACTTAATTAACTCTTCAAAAGGAGAAATTTTTAATGCACACAAGAACTGTGTACAAAACATTAACATGTTTAAACTTTATTAATGATTATAAACATTAAAATTAGTTATAAAAAAGCTATAAATTTAGCAGAAAATTTATGAAATCCGAGATGAGAAGCTAAAACACTTGTCATAATTTAGTTCAAAATGGTACAGATCATAATAAATCACATGACCAACCCTATGGCCAACCTACCATGATACTGTTTCCTATACACATTTTAGATGACCAGATATTTTAACCATCACCTGGATACCTAATAAAATGGCAGAGATTAACATTACCTTTTTTAGAAAGGAAAATAATAATATTACCATGATGACTACAGTGCATGTCAGTGTGACATTATTGAGTCAAGTCATATCCATTAATTGTTGTCAAATCCAGTGAATTGCTATGTCATATCCAGTAAATTATGTTGTCATATCCCAGGGGTGTCTGGTACTGAAAGGCCAATGCATCATCCAGCCTGCCTATGCTTTTATCTAGCAAGTCTGTATAAACGTCTCCTTCTAAATTCTAGATACAGGGTGGACTTGGTATTTCATGATTTTTGTGTCTCTTTCAACATTTCCTATTGAGCAAAGATTGGAATATGAGTTTAGCGTAGAAAAACCCACACTGACCCTTAATTCTTTCAGAACCCTATCAATGACTTTTTCCTATTATTTTAAGAAGTTTTTAAGAATGAAAGGTATAGCGCGGAACAACCACACTGACCCATGGTATACTAGTCATATCAAATAGTTGAAGGAAGGACTCTTAAATTCAGATGTTGTCTTTATAACTTGTTTAAAAATACTTGTCCCGTTGCATGGATGTACTTGTCCTATTGGTTGAACTTCGAATTTCCGCACCCCTGGGATTATCGAGTAAATCATTGTCATATCCAGTATATTTTTTAGTCATATTAGTTAAATTTCTGTCATATCCTGACAGTGATATCATCCTGATGTTATTGGAAACTTGGTATAAATCTCTGGTTGTACTCATGGCGGTAACTTAAGTACAGGTAATGAGGCCTGATACTGTATTCACTGTTTTGAAAAAAAGAATTTAGGAAAAAGCTTCTAACCATGCTTATTATTGAACCAAACTGGAATTGAACATTCTCATTATAGACCTAAAATATTTGAAAATTGTACTTGAATCAAACTTGCAATTGTATGAAACTATTTTAAAATCTGACATGTATTTGACTTCAGTTCCCATTTTTACACCAATGAGTCTCAATATTACATTCTTGATAAGGTTTTTCTGCAGATTTATAGATATGCAGTCTCCTGGACTTAATTACAAAATATATTAATTTCAAACAGTTTATACTGAAGTTGTCAGAATACAGTATCAGCCATGTCTGTCTATTGAAGAGGTCCCCTTCATAAATCCTTTAATATTAACCACAAGGTCTATTTAAAAAACAGGGGCAGGCTTTGAAAATGAATGTAGTTGCAACAAGGTCATGAAGGTTTTAGTAAATGCTCCTATCGAAGGTCAAATTGTGACTAAGGTTCACATGGAAGAGCAGCAATTAAAACAGTTCTGATTTTCCATTTGTTTTGTCTTTTTGTAATTGCCTGTTGTTTACATGGGATGCTGTCTGCCATATTTTTTGATATTTTGCTTTAGCACAAATCAGGATATAGATTTACTGGTTTGAATCATTTCTCAATTTGTTCACGCCAGGTTCAATTGTATCTTGCTTCTTAGTATAGGTTTTGCTCATTGCTAAAGGCCCTCCTGAACAATGATCTAAAATTACATTCTAGTCTGTTTGTATGGCTATCTGAGGAATAATTGTGTCATTTGCAATTATATCACATTTCCTTATTTTTTGTCTCCTATTTCATACTGTATAAATTTTCCAGCCCTTATTATATATAGTTATACATCAGCAGTAGGAATTATTCGGAGGATTCAACACACATATTCAGTTATGGTAGTTTGTAATTATCCATTGTTTGAAAGTGTTGCCAGGGTACCCTCTAAACAACCTGCCCCCTTCCCCTTTTTTATGTTTTTTGCCTTTATGAAAATAGCCTTATGATCCAAGCCACTAAGGGTGCACATTTATATAAAAATATCCAGTGCACCATTTTACATATTAAAGTGCTCATTATACAATTTTATGATTGATCAATTCACTATTAAATGTACATTAACATGATTAATGTAGCGGTTACTGAGTATAGAATAAAGCAGGGTTCATATTCGTATAAAATTAACATGTTCTAGTCCTAATATGCATGTGATATTTGCCACTTGATGTTAAATACCTGCCAACATGGCCAAGAGGCTAAAAAAATATATAATTTATCTGAACTTAAACACATTACATTTGTTTGCACCGGTCCTAAGTCAGGAACCTGATGTTTAGTAGTCGTTTGTTGATGTGGTTTATAAGTGTTTCTTGTTTCTTGTGTTTTAGAAAGGTTAGACCGTTGGTTTTCCCGTTCAAATGGTTTTACAAATGTCATTTTTTGGGCCCTTTATAGCTTGCTGTTCGGTGTGAGCCAAGGATCTGTGTTGAAGACCTCACTTTGACCTATAAATACTTTTACAAATTGTGACTTGGATGAGAGAGTTGTCTCATTGGCACTCAAGCCACATCTTCTTGTATTTATAGAAATATAAATTCAAAGTGTATGATACATAATTTGCATAACTTGCGTATACACTGGATGTTTTTAAGAAATAACTATAGTCAAATAGTAAAAAAAGGTAGTATATGTAGAATTAAGAAAATTGTTTTTTCTTAAATTTCTTGTGCTGCACAGTGACCAATAGCTGCTTACATCTACATGTATGTCCTTTTGGTCAATTGTAGATAAATGTATCATTGGCAATCATACCACATCTCCTTATTTTATAACTTAAGTAGGTATGGCATTTTTTAAAATTATTTTATATGTAACATTTTAGAATTATTATGTAGTGCACTGGACATTAAAAGTAGTACATTCCCCAGTGATCAAGCAGCTTTTGAGCAATCTCCTTGTCAGCTAACAGATTCTCCCGGTTCTCCTTTCCATCATCTTTTGTTGTCTCTTCTTTCAGGGCAAAATATTTCTTGCTGACCTGAATCTGTAGCTTGGAGAAAGATTGATCAAAAGCCGATATAAAGGATTTATGACCGGGGTGTTTAAGCTTCAATTCCCTGTACTTAATGCAGTCTTCCACATCTGATGATGGGCCAAGTAGTTGGACAACCAGGTCGAATGTTGTCTTCTTTCTACGTGATGCTGAAGCATAAAAAGGTATATACTTAGTAAAATGATACTGAATTTTCACGTACATCCCTTCTCACAAGTATTTTTTTTTTTTATATTTTTTTAATTCAGTCAAACTAGAAAAATAGCTACATAAAAATGTATGTTTTATTCCTAAAATATTAGATGCTGCTGCATGCAGTGAGTAACTTTGTCTGCATACTAATAATAATCTTTAATTTAGCACACAACTTGTAGAAATATTGATTAACAACATGCATTATATTAATTTTTATACCCCACGTAACGAGTTGCGGAGGGTATAATGTTTTTGACCTGTCTGTCAGTCCATCCGTCAGTCCTGTTTCTTGTCATCGCAACTCCTCTCAAACCACACAACAGAATTTCATGAAACCTTTTCAGATAATAAGGACATACTACGTAGATATGCATATCGACAGGAAATTATGATTCAATTTTTTTTCCAGGACTTACACCCCTTTGAACTTATTTGCCCAATATACTACTGCAACCTTTTGTCATCGCAACTCCTCTCAAACCACACAACAGAATTTCATGAAACCTTTTCAGATAATAAGGACATACTACGTAGATATGCATATCGACAGGAAATTATGATTCAATTTTTTTTCCAGGACTTACACCCCTTTGAACTTATTTGCCCAATATACTACTGCAACCTTTTGTCATCGCAACTCCTCTCAAACCACACAACAGAATTTCATGAAACCTTTTCAGATAATAAGGACATACTACGTAGATGTGCATATCAACAGGAAATTACAATTCAATTTTTTTTTCAGGAGTTACGACACTTTGAACTTATTTGCCCAATATACTACTGCAACCTTTTGTCATCGCAACTCCTCTCAAACCACACAACAGAATTTCATGAAACCTTTTCAGATAATAAGGACATACTACGTAGATATGCATATCGACAGGAAATTATGATTCAATTTTTTTTCCAGGACTTACACCCCTTTGAACTTATTTGCCCAATATACTACTGCAACCTTTTGTCATCGCAACTCCTCTCAAACCACACAACAGAATTTCATGAAACCTTTTCAGATAATAAGGACATACTATGTAGATGTGCATATTGACAGGAAATTATGATTCAATTTTTTCTCTGATACAATTTTTTTTTCTTACACTTATTTTATTTCTCCAATGACAATGTGGGGACGTGGGGTATGTGAGCGCGCTCACTAAGGTTCTTTCATGTATTACAAATTTTATTTAGAAATAACTCTTCAGAAATGTCATTTCACTTCTTATATTGCTCTTATTAACTTATTACCAAAGTTCAAGTAATAATATTACAACTTACCAAATTCTTGGTTGGAAATTTCAGAATCAAATAATTTCCTTTTGCATGATAGTGGTTTCTTAGCTGAAATTAAAAGTTTTTGTTTTGAAAAAGGTGTGATTAACAGCAATCCAACAACATAGAAGAAAATTATTGGCTTCGATATATCTGATCAGTATTAGAAAATGAAGATTGTGTAACCTACCTGGTAATGGTTTTGGTTTGGTGATCAGGTTTTCATGGGCATCAGTGCTGTTATGTTGTACAGCCCATCTCAAAACTGAAATTAAAACATATTTTATATATATCCTGTATATCTGAATGATGTGGAGGTATTAGAATAGAAAGAAGTGTTATGATTGCCAATAAGATATCTCTACACTAGAGACCAAATCAACACAGAATTAAACAACTACAGGTCACTATACTTCATTCAACAAAATTTGTTGGTCAACAAATCTTGAAATGTTATTTTTTTATGGTCAGGTATGACATTGAGATTGTTAATAATGATAATACTGTGATTGGAGGGATTTTTATCTTTTAATACTGTATGTAGTCTTCTAAATGTGTACAAATTAAATGAATCATTCAAAGATCTGCCATCCAAATAAAAATATCTAAATACCATATACAAAAATGACATACTACTTCAAACAACGATCAGGTATATCAGTTGTTCTGCCTATAATCATCATAATGAAATGTGTGGTTAGCAAAATTGTTTACCTTTAATGTAGGATTTGTACTTGTCCTTGGTTTTGGAGTTCTCTTGTTGTTTTCTTTGATGGTCAACTGCTAGTACATGTACTTCAGGTGGGTCTGTTTTAAGGAAATGAGGGAATGTTTGCATTTTTATTTATTTACATTTTCACCATAGGATTTATGCTTTTAAGATGTATAAGAAATTACATAATATTTCAATAACTGAGATCATATATAATATATATTAACTGTGGATAGTATACACTTCAATATTAAATGAAGAAGAAAAAAATGGAAAGAGAATTGACACAATAAAGGTAGACATTTAAAACCCATATATCAAAACAAAGCTTGCAATTACATTAATTATAAATAATTCAATAATAAGGAAAACTGTTGACTTTTTTTTTGAAGAAGTATATATTATGTTTTATTTTCTGTAATTTTCAGGAGAAGCTTACCAGAATGACGAGAGGGTTTCACTTTCAGAAGTGTACACCCTTCCTCCATGGCATTGCTGACCTCATCATTTGAATCAGTACATTCATCTACTGGCAGATGACTAGAGTCCCTAATTTGATCCATTGGTTCATCATTTTCCTTGGTAATTGTAATAGCTGCAAAAAAGGTAAGTGCTTCTCTCATTAATCATGATCCAAATTTTCTCTTGCTTTAATATTAAAAATGACTGACTTGTTACTAATGCAGGACATTTATGTACATTTAAATATAAAAAAGAAGATGTAGTATGATTGCCAATGAGACAACTCTCCACAAGAGACCAAATGACACAGAAATTAACAACTATAGGTCACCGTACAGCCTTCAACAATGAGCAAAACCCATACCGCACAATCAGCTATAAAAGGCCCGGAAATGACAATGTAAAACAATTCAAACGAGAAAACTAACGGCCTAATTTATGTAAAAAAAACGAACAAAAAACAAATATGTAACACATAAACAAACGACAACCACTGAATTACAGGCTCCTGACTTGGGACAGGCACATACATACAGAATGTGGTGGGGTTAAACATGTTAGCGAGATCCCAACCCTCCCCCTAACCTGGGACAGTGGTGTAACAGTACAACATATTATGGGAAAAATGTACCCATTTTATGGGAAAAAATCACATCTGTTGATCATTAGTTTTTTAATAAACATGTAGCTTGAATGGGTCATCTCCTTCTCATAATAATGATTTTTACATCGGATGACCGTGATTGAATGTATATATTTATTCAAATTTAATAATACATATATATAAATGCATCTTTGGTACCATTATTTTACCTTCATAATCTTGTCTGTCAGGCTGGTAACTGATGGTGATATCTGATGCATTGTCTTCTGTAAAAGAGAAATTTATAGATTATAAAAAAAATGATGCATGTTAGCAGTGCACAAATATATACTTTTAGAAGAATAAAACAAATATTCCTTTTATTTAATGTATTCAAAAAACATATTATGAACATGATGAAAGTACCTTTCAATGTGTGTTTTTCACACCAAGACACATTTTTTGAATTTCCATCATCATCAAACACCTTCAGTTTTTTTAAAGGTAGCAGTAAATACCCACTTTCAAATTTATCGACTACCTTAGCCCAATCATTTTTCAAAATTTGTTCCTGGTCTTTCAGGCCAGATGATCTGAAATGGTGAAGTGGAGGTCCCTCAGGTCTTGAGGAGGGATCATTTGGGCCATCAAAAAAGACCAACCCTCCATTTTCGAAAAACCACCAGACATCTTGACCCTGCAACATGAAATCTGCAATTCTCTCCAGATGGCATTGGACAAAGGAAGGTCGCTTATTGATTAGTTCTGCTGAAAATGTAGATCTTGGTCTTTCTGGCAATAGCCTTGCCTGCCTACTTATTGTTGAATCCTGTATTTTAAATGACTCTGGTTTATCAGGTGCGTTCTGCTGACTATTGAACCTTAGCATAGCATTGTCAGCAATCCATTTGGGTTGTCTGTTGGTCGTCATTTCCGAAATTCTTCTTAAGTCGCCAAAACATCTTTCCTCTTGCTCAGTGTGAACAGATCGTAAAGAGAAAATTCTAAAAGTGTTAGGAAGATGGACTGTGACACTATGAAAATGACTGCCGTAAAACTTTCTAGACGTCATTTTTAATGGTTTTCCAATGACATTCCTGCATACCATACCAAATATTAAAGCCTGATTGAAAAGTCTTAAAATCATCTTAGGTGTTCTTGATTCACTGGGAAGGTATGAAATGTTAACAATTTCAACAAGGGAATTTATAAGCTGCATAATGTTGTCCTCTATTTTTCCATTACCATGTAAATCCGATGTAAACTGGGCCAATTTAATTAAAAACAGACGAGCATCTGATCCTTTGATCTGGTTTTTGTCACCAATTGTGCTGTTTGAAAAATTTGAAAACTGCTTTTGAACGGATGAATCAGAGATATGAAATGGTAACTCTGTAATTACGTTTTGGATTACATTCGTTAAATCATGTAGGGGTTCACAGCCAAGAATTTCATATTTTCCAATGTTTAGATCTTGTGATGTCAGGTGTGGACTGTTTGTCATCAATGCTGGTGGTCTACAAATACCATGCAGTGTCGTAGTCAAAATGGCTTGAAGGTCTGGTTTAAGGGAACAGTCAAAATCAATTTTCCTGCTGTCTAACTCTGTCATGATTTCATCTTTTTTCAGGTTTTGATAGGGGTTTAGACAGCCTTTTTTCAATTTCTGTAGGGAATTTGATGAAGTGGCCAACCTGCATCTGTCATCCAAATCTTGAGCAGAAACATGGAAGCAATGGAGTAGATTGGTATGTTGTTCAGCATGAACTCCACAAAGACATGGGTAATTTCCTCCTCGTTGTTGACCACCTTCAAACTGCCTGGCAGGTCCATCTCCGCTAAAAAGTCGTAAGCAGTCCTGTATTTCATAGTCGTCATGTTTGATTGGGGTGTCTATATCTTCCAAGTCCTCCAGTCTAGTTTCTACATATGTCATTTGTTCTTCATCTTTACAACCTGCATTTAATATTTGAATGAATTAATTTTATAAGTGGCATCATATACAGGTCTCCAAGTTGGGTTTTTTTGGGTTCAAAAATTAATAAAATCATAGATTCTGAGTTCTACATTCTTTTTCTTGTGCATTTTTATTTTTTTTTTGGGGGGGGGGGGGGGGGGGGGGGGGGTTGTTAAAGGGGAATTAAGCTTTGCTCACAGAACCATTAGTAACGCAAAATTAAATAGCTGTGAAGTGGCCTAGAAATGGTAAAACACGAAATAAAGTATCCGCCAAAATAAGTTGGTTTTCACTGGTTCACCGTTCAATGTATCTTTGAGGTGTTTTTTTTTTATTATTATGTTGGTGAATTAAATGTCTCGAATGAACAATTAAGCAGCTAACATATATTTTGGTATGAATTAAAATTTTGATAAATTTCACAATAAGAAGTGATTATATACAGGAAATTTAGTGTCCATTGTTAACAATTTCTTTTAGGGGGAACATGTGTGGATGTATACTATTTATGTACTATATGATTTATAAAAATGTTTTATCTTGTACAATCATTTTTTTCAGCATCACGATAAAAAGAATATCCGGCAATAAATGGAATACAGATTTTCTATATAGGACAATGACAGAGCAGGTAATTTTTATACGACCGCAAAAAAAATTTTGTGGTCGTATATTGGTATGACGTTGGCGTGGTCGACGTCCGAAGACACATTAGTTTTCGCACTCTAACTTTAGTTTAAGTGAATGGATCTCAATGAAATTTTACCATAAGGTTCAATACCACAAAAGGAAGGTGGGGATTGATTTTGGGGGTTATGGTACCAACACTTAAGGAATTAGGGGCCAAAAAGGGGCAAAAAATAAGCATTTTTGTAACTTCTAGACATAACTTGTGTGTAAGTGTATGGATCTCTCTGACATTGTACCACAAGGTTCCATATCACAAGGGGAATGCTGGGATTGATTTTGGGGGTAATTGCCTCCAAATTTTAGGAATTAGGGGCCAAAAAGGGGCAAAAAACAAGCATTTTTCTAGTTTCATGACAATAACTTGTGTGTAAGTGTATGGATCTTTATGAAATTGTACTACAAGGTTCCATATCGCATAGGAAAAGCTGGAATTGCGTTTGGGGGTAATTGCCCAAAAAGTTAAGGAATAAGGGGCCAAAAATAAGCATTTTTCTAGTTTCCAGACAATAACTTATGTTCAAGTGTATGGATCTCTCTGAAATTGTACTGCAAGGTACCATTCTACAAAGGAAAGGCTGGGATTGATTTTGGTGGTAATTCCCTCAAAATTTTAGTAATAAGGGGCCACAAAAGGGCAAAAAACAAGCATTTTTCTAGTTTCAGGACAATAACTTGTGTGTAAGTGTATGGATCTTTATGAAATTGTACTGCAAGGTACCATATCACAAAGGGAAGCTGGGTTTGAGTTTGGGGTAATTTCCCTAAATGTTTAGGAATTTGGGGCCAAAAAGGGGCCAAAAAACAAGCATTTTTCTAGTTTCCAGACAATAACTTGTGTTCAAGTGTATGGATCTCTCTGAAATTGTACTGCAAGGTACCATGCCACAAAGGGAAAGCTGGGATTGAGTTTGGGGGTGATGAATCATAAGGGGGTGCAAAAAAATTTTTTGGGGGGGGGGGATTTTTTTTTCCTTTTTTTTCTTTAAAATTTTCCATTTTAAATTGGTTATTTCTGATTTATATATAAAAGCAAATAAAAATGATATGGTTTGAATAGGTAAATTAAAATTTTTTAAGTTCTTAGACCACTTTCATTCTGTGTCAGAAACCTATGCTGTGTCAAATATTTAATTACAATCCAAATTCAGTGCTGTATCAAGCTTGAATGTTGTGTCCATACTTGCCCCAACTGTTCAGGGTTCGACCTCTGCGGTCATATCAAGCTGCGCCCCAGCGGAGCATTTTATTTTTATTTTACAGCAAAATGCCTAGAGTGTGTAGGTAAAGGTAGTATAATCTTTGGTTAGCTTGCTTGCTAGCTGTACCATGAAGTCATTATTAAGTTAGGTATACTAAGCTCCTTTAATTGTAGACTAGTCCAAACAGATAACCAATATATCTGTCTGTAACTAGGACTACTCTACTCAGAAAGGAGGGTAGTATACCTTTATACCTAATAATGATTTCATGGTTCAGCTTACAAGCAAGCTAACTAGAGATATTACCTTTACCTACACACTCTAGGCATTTAGCTGGTAGATTTTTTGTTTGTTTTAGCATGTTAATGGTAAATAATGTAAGCATTAATTGGCCACTGACAGCCTTCAACAATGAGACCAACCAATACTGTATAGTTGGCTGTAAAAGGCCCTGACAAGAAAAATATGAAATGATTTAAATGAGAAAATTCTACTTTTGAACAAATAAAAATTGTTACTCTTGGCACATTATTATGAAAACAGACAAACTAGACTTGACTCTTAAGTCCTAAATGCCACATGCTTAATGCAGATAATAATTTTATAGTCTTTGGTCTGACCAAGCTGTGAATTCAACTTTAATTCAGGGGAGCACCCATTCCACAAGACCTTCATCAAGAGGTTGTTCATAGAGAATTAAAAATGTGCTAAATGTAGTGTGGTGAATTATTGGACTATTACCTGATTGTCCAAATATATAAATTTTTGGCTTTTCAACTTCTGCTTGTACATTTATAGGTTTTCTGTCCGGGTATTTTTCCATGTACTCCTGATTTGTTAGATAGTTAGCTGTGTCATAAAGCCAAGATAGCATAAAACAAACATATGAATGATTGAGTATATCGCTGTGGTCATGCCAAAGTTTTATACTTCTGGTACGTTCCACAGATTTTAGGAAACTTATGGCATTTTCTCTATTTTCAGGTTGACTCTCCTGGATTCTCAAGAATCGTGATCTGAGCTCTTGGTCCGATATGTTGTTGTATTCCTCATCAGTGAAGAAGCGTAGAGTTCCAGATTGAATTTGATGTTCTAAAGCGGATTTTCTGATATGTTGCATTGGAATTTTTCTACCATATATTTGTTCCTTCTCCTGATTAAGTGTACCGGCATCTGTTATTTTTGTTTTAATTATTGATTTAGGGGCAACTGGTTCTCCAATATATAATTCCCCTGAAGAAACCTTCCTCTTTATATCTATCTTTAGATTCTTAGCTGGTCTCTTGGTTGGTAGGGAAATTTTTATATTCTTTTGGATTATTATTTTTTTGGCCCTCCTGATCCTTCGCAATCTTAAATTTTGAGTGAAATTGGGAGTTTTGGTTTTAGCATACTCTTTCAAAACTTGACCGGCATTTTTTGGGGTTGTTCCTTTCTTAGTTTTAACGTCGTACTTCCTAGCTAACAGTGACCAATTAATTGAACTACCTGCTGGATTTTGTTGAATTTCTTGTAAGAATGATTCTTTGTTAAATTTGTAGTTGTCAAAAGTACCATGATGTTTCTTTGGTTTGTAACCTGATTTTTCTTTGTCTAACCGAGACAGGACCCTTTTACTGGCATTTTTTTTGGACTCGAAACTGGTTGACATTCTGTCCCTGGTATACTGATTGAATGATTTTCCGGATGCAAGAAATACATGTATGTCCTCTCCAGCGTCAGTAAAAGCATCGTCCATTTTTTGTTTAGTTTCTTTTAAGTTTCTGTCAAATTCCTTCCTTTTCTGCTCTGGTGTTTTCAACGGAGATATAGAAACCTTAATTGGGTTTTCAAATTTGATGTTAAGATTTTTTTCCATCATCGGTTGAACAATTTTAACTATATTTTGTACAGCCTTCAGTCCCTTTGTTGTTGTCCCATGGCTAGATGAAGGTGTACTCTGTCGTATAATTGTGTTGGTAACAGACTGGCAAAGTGCTGTCAGTTCTGTAACCTCTGGAGCAGCAGACTTGTGGAGGGATGAGTGCTCAATGTGAACAGTATTGCAAAGCCTGCAATTCTCCAAAGTATGTTGTTTTTTCTCCGGCTCTGGTAGTTTTTGCCAATTTTTAAAAGAAAAGTACTCCAGAAACTTATTTTGTTGTCCTTCTTTGTTGTTGTTGTTCCAATACTTTCTGTCAGTTATGTACCCCTGAAGCCTTTTATATTTTAAACTAAAATCCTTGAAGTTCATAGTCATCTTTGGATACTGGTCTATGAATATTTCATAATTTTGAAATCTGTCTTGGAGACTAATATGGCTTGAGTAGATGGGGTTCTTTTTGTTTTCTTTTTTCTCTTTCCAGGCATTTATTGAGGAAAGGTCTTTGGTTGCTCTTGATATAATTACTTTTGCAAAGTTACAGATGTTCATTGTGTGGTTTATTTACAGCTACCTATTAATTATAAAATCATGTATTCTTGAGGCTGTATTCTGGAATTTAAAATTTTTGTGGGTTTTTTTTTTTTTGTGTGTAGATGTTAACAATTAACTTTATGGAGAAAAATTAAATTTTATTTTTTCATATAAGCACAATGCCCATCACAATATTATATTATTGAGATATATTTCAATTTTGACAGTCAGGCTGTGAGTTGAGTTGGGGTATTTGATGACAAGATGGCTTGATTTTAGCATCTTTAAAATTAATTTGATATATATCTTGAGATGTGATATGATTGCCAATTACTTATGAGAAAACTGCACCAGAGACCTTCTGACAGAATTAAGCAACTAAAGATTACTATATGGCCTTGAACAATGAGCAAAAACCATACTTCAGAGTAAGCTGTAAACCCAGGATCAATCATTCATAAATAAAAAGAAATTGTAAAAAAAAAGAAAAGAAAAGGCTATTGTTATAAATGTTTCAAAGTTACAGATGTTCATTTTATGGTTTATTTACACGAGGTCTTAGATGTACTTTTCTGCTTGCTATTTATAAATTGTATTTTAGTTACCTTTGGTGTCATTTGACATGTATTATTGTATGTTCTCTGTTCTAAGTGACAGATTAAAAAGGGGTTTAGATTATAAAAAAAATGTTCCTGACCCAAATCAGAAACCTTAAAAACAACAACAAACTGTCAATCCCTCAGTTTAAGATAGATGTGTTATTGGCATTGAGACAACCATTATATATATTACATGAAGACTACATTAAGTTGCATTCTAAATGTATGAATTGGTTTATTTTGTATTTGGGTTGCTGCCTTGTTGTTTTATATTATAGTTGGACTGTTGACTGTCTTAATGCTGCATTTTGTTGTTGGTTAGCTGATTTTATAGTTGGGTTGCTCACTTATTGATGTATTGTATAGTTTAAATGATCTATTTTATAGTTGGGTTGCTCACTTATTGATGTATTGTATAGTTTAAATGATCTATTTTATAGTTGGGTTGCTAACTTATTGATGTATTGAATAGTTTAAATGATTTTTTTTATAGTTGGGTTGCTCACTTATTGATGTATTGTACAGTTTATAAATGATCTATTTTATAGTTGGGTTGCTCACTTATTGATGTATTGTATAGTTTAAATGATCTATTTTATAGTTGGGTTGCTCACTTATTGATGTATTGTATAGTTGAAATGATCTATTTTATAGTTGGGTTTCTGTCTTATTGATGCTCTTTGATAGTTTGGGTGATGCCATGCTGATGAGTGATGTATTTAATTGCAGTTTTATTTCTGTATTCATTGTGTTACTGTTTCATAAATGTATTATGTAGTTGGGTTGCCGTCTCATAAATGTTCTGTGTAGTTGGGTTGCAGTCTCATTTATGTTCTGTGTAGAGAGGTTGCTGCCTCGTTAATGTTCTGTGTAGTTGGGTTGCAGTCTCATTTATGTTCTGTGTAGAGAGGTTGCTGTCTCATTAATTTTCTATGTAGTGAGGTTGCTGTTTCATTGATGTATTTTGTAATTGGTTGCTGTCTTATTGATATTTACACTAAATCACCTGTTATGCTTACAGGTTACATATATTATTTATCTACCGAAATATGTAGATTATATCTGCATCATAAAGTATGCATTTTCATGTTAGAAAAAAAAATGTATTAAACTTTAATGGTGTTATGTTATTAATTATTTCAGCTCTGTATCAATACTAATTACCAATGGACAATTTGTTAAATTAAATTGTTCATAAAAGTCACCCATTTGTTTAAGTGGTAAATATATTTAGTAATATTTGCCAACTTGCAATCTGCTTCAGTATATTATAGTATACTATATATTAAAAAGGAATTTAGCAATCCAGATGATTATGGACTTGGAAACAAATTAAGAACTATGACTTCCAAAAGCATGAGCTTTGTGTCTGAAACTTCTATGTAAGATAGCCTGGTTTTAGAGGATTCCAATGGTACATGGATATATGGTTGCTCAAAACTAATAAAAGGAAATAGAAATACGAGTACTGACACTGTTCCAACTTGTTTTGGTTTTGGGATAGACGTATTTAAATGTATAGCTATGGAGGGTGGCTGATGGAGCTACAAAAAGGATTAAAGCATAAACTTTACATAGCTTTGGTGATATTTAAACCCCCTCCCCTTTTAACTTTTTTTCATAAAATTTGCAACTATTCAACTGATTTACTCCAGATTTTCTTTATCAATAAAAGGTAAGTTAATATGAACATTAGTGCAAAAACTGGCATAATCCTATTGATTATTAAAGATAATTACTGGATGGTGGTGCTGTCGAGATGAGCGGGAAATATTTTTTCGCAATGTCCAAAGTGATATCTCTTATAATTCTTGATAGTTTTCAATTAAAATTTGTGATAAATGCTGTTGAAAATTACTGCCTCAAAAATACACGATAGTTTTGATAAAAATATAAATCGATATGAGATGATGATAGATTGTTTTTCCCTGGTGCAAGTTGCATCATTTGCTTTCTTCCATCTTCAATATAGTTGGTACAGTTCACTCCGGTACTTCAGGGTTCTAACATGAAAATATTTGGTAATTAATCAATTGGTATACAAAATTTATAGAAAACATGCTGTGTAGGATAGCTATTGTATTTCTAGGATATTTGTCTCTAATTATTTTTGATCTCCAACAAGTTTTCGAGTAATATTGTTAACTGTTATTTATCCTGTACGACCTCGTATGTATTGGAATCTTCCAAAAAAACCGGGAAAACTTTAGTACATCTTCAAATATTTTAATTTTATTTTTTTAGAAATTAATTGTATATTATAAACAAAAACCAAATGTTTCATCGATGGTAATAATAATTATAAAATTGTATTGACAATTGAAGTTTGCCGCCAACCAACTTTCCTGTTTTCGGATGAGAACTGTG